GGGGGGGACTTTCAAAATCTAGTCAACAGCACAGTGGAGTTGTTTCATGTTCACAGAGAAGACAAGCAACATTTCTGCACATCTGTGTTATCTGCCTAAGAATACACATACAGCTCACCTCAGGTTCAGCCTTTATTTCTGGAAATGTTATTGGGACAAGATCCTCCTCCTCTTCTGCATCTGAGGCTGCCTCAGCTTTTACAATCATGGCCTGATCTGCATCATGAGGTGTTGGGTATATCTCACCATACGGACCCACTAAAGAGTTCTCCGAATTTGTACAGTTCTGTAAAAACCATTACATCCTTCTCAGAAATGGATGCACAATACCACACATTAACCAGCGTATGCTCTCCTTGCTCTGGCTGTTTTTCATCACATCTAGCTCATAAGAGCTCTTTTGTACGGATGCTCTTCTCTACAGTTATTATGATCAGTAGAAAGTACTCGGTTCATACCTCAGTGACCTTCCCGAGGATCTATCAGTCACTGTAGCAGTACAGAAAATATCTGTTTTTTGGTACCTAAAAACATCTTAATGAAGAGCTCCACAACTTGTAACCTTCATTCACCAAGCATATTATATGATCAAGTCAAGGAGGATGACATTGGCAGCTCACATAGCAGGCATGGGGGAGAAGAGGAATGCATATAGGATTTGATGAGAAAGCCAGAATGAAGACCTAGGCATAGGTGGGAAGATAATACTTAAATGGATCTTCAAGAGACATAGGATGGGGTGGTGTGGACTGGATTCATATGGCTCAGGATAGGGCCTTGTGATGGGTTTTTGCAAACATATCACTAAACTTTCAGGTTCTATACACTGTTGGGAAATTCTTCAGTGACCAAGCAACTGGTGGCTTCTCAAGGACTCACTCAGCTCCATGGAGTTAGTTATGGTATCTAAGGGCTTGTTACTGTGATCACTAGGGCCCAGATCTTTATAGGCTAAAAACACTTAAAATATGAGCTAAAAAGCGGGAAAATATGCACCAAAAATAAAACAATATGCACTTAAGAAACAGGTCACTTTATTCAGACTTACCTATTTACATGTATCATTCACTGCAGAAAGTAGCATCACAATAGGCAACTAGAAGTCTATTGTCTATTGTCCATCAAAATGAGTTTATGGGCTGAGAATGATCTTTCACCATTAGCTGACGTGACTGGACAGTATTTATACATTAGCGCCGAAGGTTCGGAACATTCATCTGGCAAACATACCTTAATTCCAAGTGGCCACCATAGTCTAGGGGTAACGTTCCAACCTCATGACTCAAGGTACGCGGGTTGAAACCCAGCGGAGGTCGTGGAATTTTTCATGGCGGAAAAATTCAGGGAACAAGCCCTCCAGGAGGGACTTTAAGCCGTGAGTCCCGTGTCGTAGATTTATGGCACGTAAAAGAACCTCATGTCTCTAGGAGAACTCTGAGCGGAATTATTAGGTAAAACTTTGCCTCTGGTAGATGGGGGAAGTATCAAGGTACCGAGGGTCACCTCATTGGCTCAACGGGGCTGATAGCACGCACCGTCTACTGGTAGGGGATGGGGACAGTAGAAATTAAAGGGGGACGCACAATGGACCAATACCTGGTCTAAGAGCATGGGGAAACACACCCCCTCTGATAATAATAATAATAATAAAATACCCTAATTCCACTCAAGTACTGACTAACTGACTGAATATATTTTAGTCCTGGGTTCGATTTCAACACCTTTTCTAATTTGAATTTAATCTTCTATCCAATTTCGCCTGGAGTGGAATTCACTGACCAAGTTGCTTTCCGAACGAGTTGAAGTGAGTCGTGAAGGAGTGCACCACAAGATTCTACGCTCTCAATGGCCTTTGAAACTGTAGAAAAATGTGCATGGATAAAATTCACATCTTGATGAATAGTATCACTTCCAAACACCACTTTTCCTTCACGGACACATGCATACTCATCTTCTAGTTTTGTAACCACTTCTTTTAGTTCATTGAAATTCTCACGATAAAATGAAACTGCGGATAACCATGTCCCCCACCTAGTTAGGACAGGTTCAGGTGGCAGAGGAATCTGAGGTAGGAAATCTTTGTAGAACTGGACACGAGCTGGTGCTTTCAGAAACAGTTTGTTCCCACTTGCAATTAAATCGTTAACAGCCGGAAACTGTGCATGTATTTTCTTCTGCAATACGGTGTAATCCGTGCGCTAAACAGGTTACGTGTAGAAGATCTGGATAAAACACTTGGAAGGCCTTTGCTGCTTTCAACATATGGGAAGCTGCATCTGTGAGTAATACAGGCACCTTACAACAATTATTCTCAAATTCAGATGGCCATAGTAGTCACAGTGAATCATTTACAAATCTTGCTATTGTGCTATGGTTGGTTTTCTCTAGTACTCTGCAAGCAAGAAGATGCAGGTTGCCGGGTTCGTCTGGATCCACATAAATCGGTTGTCTCATCCATTGATATCCAGACACAGTTCCTTCTGATGTCAGAATGGACTGACTCCAGAGGAGATTCATACAGCAAAGGTAGATAATTTTTTCTAAGAGCTGATTCATCTGGAATTTTTTGAATTACACAATATTTCTTCAGAAATGATCACAGAACTAGACTGCGTAATTTATTCCATGGAATGTTGCTGCGTACTAAAGTCTTACAAAGATCGGCTGAAAATGTATTAACAGAGGATTTGGGTTTGACCTGTGTAAGAAGCAGTTGTTGTGGTGTGCTGTTCTTCTTCTCCTTCTTTGCCGTAATATGTGCAGTCGTTCTTGAGTCTTGTTCAAGTTGAAATTTCTTTTCACGTTTTACTTCCTTTGCGCACACTTGACAGTACACGACGACACCGTCTGCTGAACAGTCACTATTACCTGACAACCACCGAATTTTTAAAAATGTACAGCTGCACTTTTCTTCAGGCATTTTCAGTGCACGAACACTTTTTTGAAGCAGGCTATGAAAGTAAAGAGTAACACATTAACTGAAGAGACTTCTCTTGAGACCAACACTCTGACGCTACTGTCTGATGTGGTGGTCAAAGAAATGCAGGAAAATCCCACCCCCTCCCTTTTGAAATAGCCAAGCTACCTGCTTGTATTGTAAGTGGTGAAAGTGCCGTTACTCAGAGAGCTGAGAATAGCAGCTGGCAAGGGATGTCCAAAACACAGGCAAAACCGATTTTGTTAGAGAACATTGAAATTATCCTTAATTCCAAACATATATGCAGAAATATGCTCTTATGTTTAGAATATGCAATAATGACCCAAAACCCTCAAAATATGCATTTGCATATGAATTTTCAAAAAATCCGGGGCTTTGTGATCACACATGCTCATCATGGCTCTTTATCCTAAGGCAAACAGACCCAGTACAAACCATTCCAAATTATTTCTTTAAAATCTATCTTAACAGCATCTCTCCATCTCCACTTACGAATAAGTCTCCCAACTGGTCTGCTTCTCTCAGGGGTTCCATGCAAAACTTGGTATACATTTCTCACTTTTGCATGTGCACTACATGACTTACTCACATCACTCTCCTTGAACTCATTGCTCTCCCACATAACATCCCAAACTGTTATCACCCAAGTGTAAGTAACTCCCCACATGGATTATGCAAACAAACAGAAGTGTGTCACAAATAAAATTCTTGTCTGTGCACACAAGCACGAAATGCTCACGATGCTTTCGCTTACATCAGGAAACTTTTCTTCAGCTCTCCACAGTACAATTCTTGGCACTCTTGTTGCAAGAGAATGCAGAATCTTTTGTAATCTTGAAACTTCTTTATCAAATCTTGTGGGGTTCATTGTAATTAGCTTACAACAGTCTTAGTAATTTATATTCTTGGTTCTAATAAGTGTACCAGTAACTAACTGTGAACAGCTCAGTGACTCCCTAAGGATTTTTGCTGCTATAGAATTTCTCTCAAATACAGTTCAGTTTACACAAAATGTAATTTCATCTACATCAGAATTACTTAAAATGAAATGGAAGTGGTACATCACAAGCAGCATACATTCAACAAACTATAACTGTCTAGAGACAATTATAAATTATAAAAGACAAGTACGTCCAATGTGTCCAATAGTCACATTGGACAGATTTGTCTTTTATAATTGTAACTATCAGTGTGACGGACCAAAATGAAACAAATCAAATGTCTAGAGACACTTCACAAAAAGGCCTTCAAAGGTGAGTCAGCAGCACAGTGGAGTTGTTCTATGTGCACAGACAGACAGCCCGACAGATGGAGATGAGACAACTGGAATTCCTGTCTATCTGTGATATCTGCCTAACAGTGGACATACAGAAGCATACAGCTCACCTCAGGTTCAGCCTTTATCGTCTGAACATTTATTTGCACATGATCCCCTTCCTCTTCTGCATCTGAGACTGCTTTAGCTTTTATATTCATGGCCTTGTTTCCATCATGACTTGCTGGGTATGTCTCACCATATGGACCCACTAAAACCTTCTCTGAATTTGTACAGTTCTGTAAAAGCATCACATCTTCTACCAGTCATGGCTGTACAACACCACACATGAAACAATATATGCTCTCCTTGCTGTAGCTGTTTCTCATTACATGTAACCCATAGCAGCTGCTCTGTACAGATTTCTTCTCTACAGACTTCATAATCTTAGCAAGTAACTTATTTTATTAGGCCGTCACAACACAACAATTAAAGAACTTCAAGGATAATGCCCAGATATAGTTCACTACATGTTTCGGCCACTAGTGGCCATCATCAGGCAAACACACTTCAATAAACGTACACCACTGAACTGCAGCACGTAAAATCCGTTCAGTGGTGTACGTTTATTGAAGTGTGTTTGCCTGATGATGGCCACTAGTGGCCGAAATATGTAGTGAACTATATCTGGGCATTATCCTTGAAGTTCTTTAATTGTTGTACTGTGACGGCCTAATAAATAAGTTGTATGTATTGTAACACAGCAGGATGCACGAAAAGAAAATTAATCTTAGGAAGTGTTAAGTTCATAATGCAGGGACCTTCCTGAGAAACGTATGGTCCCTGTGGAAGTACAGACAATACGTATCTGCTCTTTATGGAACCTAAGCACTCATTACTGTGTTCATACATGCCAATCATAACTTTGCATCCTGACACAAACCCAGTCCAAAACTCCCATAATTGTACCTTTAAAAAAAAAACTCCACAATTGTCTCCCAAGTGGTCTCATTCTTTCACTTCTGTCAAAATCATTGTGTGCATTTCTCATTCTTACATGTGCTACATGAATTACCCATATCACTCTCCTTCAATTGATCCCTCTCCCACATAATAATGCAAAGTGTTATAATATGAAGAACCAAGTAAACTCCCCAGACTGATTTTAAAAACTAATACCAGCTTGGCATTAAAAGTTTAGTTTCTTAAGATATGAAAATTTCCTGATGACAATAAAATTCTTGTCTGTGCACAAAAGCACAAAACACTCACCATCCTTTCTGTCACAGCAGGAAATGTTTATTCAGCTCACCGTAGCAGAATTCTCGGCATTCCTGTTGCAAGAGAATGCACATTCTTTCATAACCTTGAAACTTTATTTTATTCCATGATGCTTTGTGGGTGGCAAATGAATTGATTTACAAGAATCTTAGTGGTATAGGATTACATTTCTAACAAGTGTACCAGTACCTAGCTCTGAATATTGTCCAAGTCTATAAGGAAACATACTAATTATTGTGAACAAACACACTGACATGCATTTCTTTGTCCTCACAGTAGACGCAGATTATGAAGCTTAGTGTCTTATTACACGTTGTGTAGTCTAACATGTCGCTTAGTTTTGAAGGCAGCTGGTTCACCCATTTAGATTGAACCTCTTGCTTCCAAAACGTCGGTAACTAGCTACAATACTGCACTAGGTTACGTTGTACAAACAGCACACTTACTCTACAAATTTATACTACAGAGCCGCAAAAATGCATTTGTGTGCCCGGCAACTTCAATGAGTTCAATATACACCATCAACTATCACGACTTCCTTTAAAGGATGGACTGGTATGTGTAACAGCCGAGAAAGGGCATAAAACAGTAAAAATGTGCATTCTAATGGGAACATAGTCCTCATACTGGGCGCTGCGAAGTTTACCAGAATCCGAACTAGAACTTGCAACAGCGGAATTACATCACGAACACCATAATTTGTAAAAATATGAGGAAACTTAATTTCTCTCGAATGATCCTAATGATTCACTACTGAAAAACCCAAAACCTACACACTTCCATATTAATCGTAATATCGGATACCAACGACGAAAGAGTTCGTTCTACTTCTGGTGTTGGTGTTCACTCGTGGTCCTCGTGGTCTTGGTCGTCATACCCTAACCGACTCTAGAGGAAAAATGGCACTGAACGTGCTGGTGAACATGTAGTACTAATTCTGCTCACCAGAATGATCTGCCGACTAACCTGTTGGGATATGCCTCCTAGGTCGGATGGGCATTGCAAGGTATATATTTTGTATTTACAATAATTTTTCCCCAACAAAAAATCATCTGTCGCCATTCTCACGAAAATTGCAAATTAGATACTATGTATTCTAACTTGACTTGTTCCATATCCTATGGTGTCTCACCTGTACTGGATTTACGGAATGTAAATAAATTCAATTCAATTCAATTCAATTGCTTTTAACTTCAATATTGGGTGTTAGACTGAGGAATGAATTGAAAAGAGCCACGGACAGGACCAAAAAGGAATATATTGAGAAGATATGTAATGAGATTATAGAATTTCAAAGGACAGGACGTTATGATTTGATGTACATGAGGGCAAAAGAACTAGGATGGAAAGAGAACCATGGGATTCAAAATATTGGCATCGAAGACTCCCAGGGGAATAGAATTGTAGATCAGAGGAAAGTGTTGAAAATTTGGAAACATTACTCGTATATTACAGAACTATATGATCGACCTAACCGTCCAGAAACCTTGGAAGTGGAACCGGAAGAAAAAGTACATACAGACGAGAAAGGACCATATATTTTACAAAGTGAGGTGGAAAAAGCTATCAAGGACATGAGGAATGGAAAGGCTACAGGAAATGATGATGTACCTGGAGATGTGCTTAAGTTACTGGGAGAAGGTGGTTTGAAAACACTGACAAAACTAATAAACACCATTTATGAAATTGGGGAATGGCTCAAGGACTTTACAGAAGTTACAATGAGTGAGAAAAAGACAAAAGCTACAAAATGCAGCCACCATCGCACAACAAGCCTTATTGCACATACAGCAAAGATAATAGCAAAGACACTTAAAAGAAGAATTGAAAGGAAGAGAAGATCAGTTTGGATTTAGAAGAGGAAAAGGAACCAGGGATGGAATTGGGATGATGAGAATTATAGCAGAACGAACTTTTGAGATAGATGAAGAACTGTGTGCTTGCTTTATAAACTGGCAGAAGGCATTTGACGGTGTAAATTGGACCAAATTAATGCAGATCCTAAAGGGAAAGATATCGATTGGCGTGAAAGAAGATTGATTAGTAAATTGTACATGGATCAGAAAGTGAGAGTGTGACTGGACAGAAGGGAGACAAGAAGTGTGAAGATTGGAAGAGGAGTTCAACAAGGATGCTGTCTATCACCAATTCTGTTCATCTTGTACAGCGAATGCCTTACCAATGAAGCTCTTGATGGGCTTGGAGACTTCAAATTAGGAGGGCAAATTATTAAAACTGTGAAATATGCAGATGACCCTGTGTTAATGGCTAAGGAAGAAACTGTGCTACAGGGTATGATTGATAGACTAATCGAAATTGGAAGGGGCTATGGCATGGAAGTGAATGTGGGAAAACCAAAAGTAATGAAAATTTCGAGACAACGAACCCCAGTCACAATAAAGATAGACCAAAAAAAAACTGGAGAATGTGAAATATTTGGGTAGCTTTTTAACAGGTGATGGAAGATGTACTAGTGAAATTAAATTAGGATTTCCATGGTAAAAGCTGCATTTAGCAAGAAGAATAATCTTTTTACCAGCAAAGGGGACTTTAATTTCAGAAAGAATCTAGTGAAATGCTACATTTGGAGAATGGCTTTGTATGGGGCTGAAACTTTGACACTTATGGTAGTAGATCAGAAACACTTGGAAAGCTTCGAAATGTGGTGTTGGAGAAGGATGGAGAAGATCAGTTGGACCGATTATGTGAGAAATGAAGAAGTGTTATTTAGAGTCAGTGAATAGAGGAATATCCTACATGGAATAAGAACACGGAAGGCTAATTGGATCGGTCATATCTTACTCAGTAACTGCCTTCTAAAAGAAGTTATTGAAGGAAAGATAGAGGGGCGGATATAAGTGACCAGAAGACGAGGAAGAAGACATAAGAAGATGCTGGATGACCTTGGGGACAGAAGAAGATATTTTCATTTGAAGGAGAAAGCTCTAGATTGCATCAAGTAGAGGAACTGTTTTGGAAGATACTGTGGACCTGTCGTCTTGACAGATTACTGATGAATGAATGAATTGGGTGTTAAGATTTGGACGTGGGAATTTTTTTAATGTAATGTCAATAGCACCAACAACGACCTCTGGGAAGAAATCATTACGCTTTCTGTCCTTAAAATGTTTCAGTATGGACCTATATATTGAGATGGACGAGAACTTTTAAACTGAATCTGAGGCCTAAAACAATACCGAGGAAGCCCGAGAAGCTCAGTCGATATAGCCACACAGGCAACTTCAACTATATCTACATAGCCTTCTGTGATTGGCGATGAGTAATTTCGTAATCTACACGGCGTCACTTTTTTATTCTAACCCTGAAGATAGAGACAGAACTTTCCTGTTAAACGTTAATGGAGGCTTCAGATTCCTCCATGCAGACATCTAACAGACTACACGGCTAACATCTCATATTCTGCCCTGAAGAAGGAGGCCCCCAAATGTTTCCAGATACCTGTGAGATACCCCGTTCTTCTACAACAAATACGGACAACTGGAAATTCCTCTGAAATTAAACTACACGAGGTCACAATCACTATTCTATCCTGAAAAAGCAGGCAATAGATTCCTCCGAAACGCTGACACCTATGTACCAAACAGCACGGCCTCACAATCCTAGAAGACGGCAATCTTATTGAGAATCTTGCTGATAGTGCACAGGACATCGGGTCATCCGAAATAACTCGAAAGAAATTTCTGCTTGATTGATTTGGATGACTAATTTGTGTACACAGAAAACATCGCTTTTTACTTTAATAACATCTGAGAAAGTGTTTCTTCTTTCTAGATTACCTTCGTGAGCTTCGTGAGGGCATTATTTGTGACATCGTTTTTAAGTTTTATGTCGAATGCTCCTTTAAATTATAGGTACAGATGATTTGGTTAATTCTTAGACTGACTCTTTCTCTCACTGTACAGCCCTTTGGACCATGGCCACGTTTTCAGTTTCTTAGTCGTATACACAGATGGTAATGCTTGCTACCATTCAGTCCAGAACATTTTGTCTTCTAGTCTGATGTCTAAAAACGTAAACATTAGAATATACAAAAGTTTAATTTTGCCTGTGGTTCTGTATGGGCGTGAAACTTGGTCTCTGACATTAAGGGAGGAGGGTGTTTGAGAACAGGGTATTGA